TATTGTAATCCTCACAAAAAACCTTTCGAACGAGGAGTCAAGTGCCGTCAGAACATAACACAAACCGAAACAATCATATATTTACTCACCGCTTGGCCTAAGATTCTAAATTTCGCATTCACAAATTTTGAATATCTCTTGAACTTTTCGTAATTTGCTGAACGGCTATATGTGTAAAATACTCTTTATATTCAAGCGCTTTCGTGTACAAAATTTCGTTTGAGTACGGCGAGTAGAAATATTTATTTTGAATTTTTCAATACATTACTACCCGCACGAAAAAATCACAGCGTGAACCTCAATTTTAAAGTGCGGATCACGCTGTGATTTTAGCCGGCCTCGCCAACACTTTGCCTGCAACTGCAGAACACCATAGACTGTCATCATCAAGCAAAACTGATGTGAGGGAAAAGTTGAATATTATTTTTAATGCCTAACCCAATGATATTTGATATTACAAGCTTGTTCACAAGGCCAAGGGGGAAATATTATAAAATTGATTCAATTAAACTATAGCTTGCGGAATAAAATACCCGTTGCGATTGTCAAATGTCAAACGATATGTGAAGTATAGCTAGCTCTACTGCATGTACTCTATATAGATCTTTAAAATTCACAAACAAAGTTTGCGCATAAACCACTCAGATGGAACATAAATTAAATATAACAAGACGCCTGCTCAGGCGTTCACACTGGCCTGAAAATAACGAGATACGTGCTATGGTGCAAAAGGCAGGAATACAAATCTTAAACCGCAAGCAAATTTTATGGACTTTTTAAAAAAATAAAAGACCTTTTCGGGAGACGTAATGGAGATCGATGCACGTGCAAATCATGCCGACCTACAGAATCGATTTCCGGTTTTTCCTAACAGCGCGTTGTTTTCATGTGCGTTCCATGGGCCGCGCTAAAAATATAAATATTCTGTAAATACCGAAATAAAAGATGAGAATCTCAAGACACAAGCTTGAAAATAACACTATAAATAATGTTTTCGATTCTGCTTCCAATAACATTATCACGAAAAGGATATGTCCAAAGGGGCCGAAGTTATGTGCGGCAAAATGTATGGCTAGTTTACATTGTTTGTTGTATTATGAAATATGATACCATACTTGTATTAAAATTCGCGTCGAACTAATGTTATTGTAAATGAGTACTATGACTTGCCACAAGTCGACCTTGAACGAAATGCGTTTCTTCGAGGTCGACTTGTGGCAAGTCTAGCAAATGAGAACCATACAAATGATCCAATAATGGTTCTAGTTCTTGTTGGTATTTTGAACGCACGCTTTATCTTTCAGCATACTGTAGCTACCACAAATCTTTTCGTGCGGATTATATTTCGTGGAGTACTAAATATTATATTTTGTGGTTTTCGAGTCATTACACAAAGCAAAACACATTAATTCAACACGCAAGAAACTCCAGAGTACGACACAACGTAAAATACATAGGAAACCGGCACAATTCTTTGAAAATTCAACGAAACTGTGTAAAATATAGTTTGATCACTCTGTGAAAGGCCGCCATTGCAGTTCGGAATTGTGCGCGTGCGTACAAGTGTATAGGCTAATAAACGAACAATGTACCACAAGCATGGCATGAGTCGGCTAGTACGTACATAAATACGTAATTTGTTGCTATTGTATTTGAATCATGGAACGGAGGGAATCGATGGCATTTTGGCTTAATCGTTGCACCTTGAGCCTGCGATGCGCTAACGCAAACTCGATTTCTCGACTACGAAAAAAACAGAAAAAGAGGGATTTAAGACACTTGGCCTACAGGCCAGTGTAATGATGCTCATGCACTCCTTGATCGGTCTTTACGTTTTCATAAATGTATTATAGTAGCTATATACTGCTGCGTCCTATGATATATTAAACAACACGCAATATTTGAGAAAACATACACATCATTCATACAAGTTTAATTATAGTTTGTACCCTCTGAAGTCAAAATATACCCTCTCAAGTCAGTATTCAAGTATTCAGAGCTGAAAATGGCACACATATATCGCATGGGCATACTGTAGACTGTTTTGACCTGTGAAATTAATTTTGAATTATATATAGCAAATATGGTTTCATTTTAATCATTTGAGGACGTTCTATAGTTTCCACTGGTTAAGAAAAGATGGCACATATCTTCATAACCTGCCAGCAAAATATGGCACATATTTCTGGCACAAATTAAAATATCTTTGTGAAGTGCACGATTTTCTGCTCTTGGGAATTTAAAGCAGCTTCCTATAAAATGGTTTCTTTATGCATACAATTTACTTATGTCAAGCTTTGATGCACGTGTGAGTTCAGCAGAGTGCCGTGGCATTCAAATTCTAACTATACGTTATTTCAATAATTTTCACTTTTTTGGGGACCCTGTATAAGGTGCTCATTGCTTTTGTTCACTGAATGTCAGACTCAAAGAATTACACTGAGCAAACATCTATATTCACCATGCGTTTGCGCAAAATTTGCCTCCCCAATTGTTCCGAAACTGAACTATATTGAGCAGTATTTCATGCTCTTTCCAACGATGTACAGCAAATTGGGCACAAGCTCACAAAAGTCGAAAAGGCATGGATTAATATAATGTGCTAATTGCTTTTGTTTATATTATTTTGTTTAAGTCATTGCAAAATATGCCAAGCCATTTCACTTGAACTATATGAATCAGCGCAATAATAGACGAATGAATACACAATCAAGTGAATCGTTTCAATTTTAAACAAATCATTTCTGGTCTTGTCCAGTCATATCACTACGTTAGGTTCAAGCATTTCTAAACATGATGACTCGTTCGTGTTTGTAATTATGAATGATTTCTGTTTATGTCCATTCCGGGCCTTTTCCGGCATTTCACACGTGTGGTATTTTTGGTGGTAACGGCCGCCCATAGAAAACATACATATTCAGCAAGCGTTAATTACGCAAAATCCGCCCTACCTATTGCTCCAAAACTCGGCTATATTGTGCAGTATTTCATCCTCTTTCCAATGATGGACAGTAAATTGGGGCACAAGCTCACAAACGTCGAAATGGCAAGGATTAATAAGGTGCTAATTGCTTTTTTGTATATTATTTATTAAATGCCAGACAACAGGATTCACTGGCAAACATCTGTATTCAGCAAGCGCTTGTGCCAATTGTGCCAACGTAACTGCTCCCAAGCTCGACTATATTGTACCGAGTATTTCATGCCCTTTTCAATGATGTACAGTAAATTGGGGCACAAGCTAAGCAACGTCGAAACGGCAAGGATTAATAAATAAAGAAAATATTTTTTTTTAAATTTATTTCCCCTAATATTATTACATGTAATTTCCTTATAATTGTATTTTTATTAATGATAGGTTAGAGACCTACTTGAAACCCTGTTGGGCTTTTTCTTTAGGCGCCTAGTTTAACTCATATAATTAAATTAACTATTTACAGTCAATTTGAAGTATTACATCATATACCTATAGTTATTTAGCTATATATACATATATCAAAAACTATAAAGGTTCGTTCAAACAAAGAGTTACAATATAAATTTTCTAGTATATATACCTATTACAACGATTGGGCTAAAATTATTCAATATATTGGATACCGAAAATACAATTGCAAGAATTTTATATATAATGTTGTTTAATTTGTTTCTTAAAGGTATAGTAAGCTTTTATGTCTTTTAATTTAGGTTCCAGTTCATTCCACACATCAATCCCATTATTAGAAAGAGTGTATTTTACATAATTTGTTCTTTTAAAGGGCTTATGTAGTTTTGATGCATTTCTCGTATTATGCTGATGTATTTGATTGTTTGTTACAAAATAATTTTCAAAAAATTCTGGTAACTTTTGAAGATGGTAATATCGAAACATGAATATCGCGGTTGAATTGTGATTTATTTTGAAAATATCAAGTATGCTTAAGGTGGCTCGCTACAGTTTATAGAAATGTTGAAAATGCGTAAACTAGATCACCTTTTTGAAGAGATGATGCTCTTTACAAATCGAAATTTGTATATTATACATACAGCGACAATCAAACAGTCGAAAATTGGTCAGAAAAGTGAAGTCATCACTGTTGCTATGGCAACAATGACGATTCAAGATGGCCGATATTTTGGCTTTGAACGCATTTTACTTTAAGGTGGCTCGATATAGTTATTACAAAAAAACCCTGCTCAAGAATCGCGAATTCAAAACCGGGTGACAATTTTTACGCGCAGGTCGCGGAAATTGATTAACAAAATGAAAGAACTTCCAAAATGACCTGACGTGAGCAGTTGCTCGCGCCATATCATGCCATTGCGCGTGTTCTATAGCGTTTTATGTCAATTGCTGACGTCATTAGAATTTTCCATTTTATAAAAACAATGCGCTATATCTCTTTATTTTGTCTGGTCAGTATGTTCAAATTTTGCATGCTGTATTGCACCGCTAAAAACTTTCATTATACAAAAAATAAAAAAATTCTGTAATGCCAAAAATTTTTTACAGAAGATTATGAGATTTTCGCATTTTCCAAAAAAATGACATTACAGAATTTTTTTATATCTTGCTAATTCTTTGCTTTTCGTCCAAGTAAAATAATGCGCAAAAAAAATTGGGGGTCACTATGCTTCTTTTCCAACTATACGAGACGATAGGCCATTTTGGAGTGAATTTCGTACACGTATGTCGTCATAGCAACGGACTATCTGTTATTAAAACTAATATAATTTGAAAGTAGAAATATCAAAATATATAAGAAACCCGAATAGCTGCTGAATAAATCCTAAAAATGCGTAGTTTGAACATGTCAAAGTGTTGAACACCTGTATTCCTGAAAACTGTATCGGTTACCCCAATTTTTTATTTCAGAGAACATTTTCTTATAGTACAATACACTATCTGACCAACTTTAAAAAAATTCTGTAATGCCAAATTTTTTAAAAATTTATAAACATGGTTTTTCGAAATAAATATTTTTTTGCATTACTGATTTTTTTTAAAATTGGTCAGATAGTGCATTGCACTATAAGAAAATGTTTTCTGAAATAAAAAATGGGGGTAACCGACCTTTTTTTAAAGTAAAATGCGTTCAAAGCCAAAATATCGGCAATCTTGAATCGTCCATGCCAAAAGATAAGCCTATTGCGAGCGACATTTGCTCAAACGAGTTTGCGCAAGCGCACTTGCCACTTGGTGTCATTTTACTTGCGTAATCATAGTATCATATATTACTGAACACATATAGCGACTGTCTCGAAGCGATGTCGACCAGAGAAAGGCTTTTACAAAATTGTACATCCTAAACATGAATAAGAACGCTGTTGAGCTATGTATATTGTACATAATAAAGTCGTTGTTCATATAAAGTATAAATATCCAAGCCTTAATTGTATAAATAAAGTAAAATGGTTGAATGCTTCTCGGCGTTTAGAGCAAAGCTAAAGGCCTTTATATTGTAGCAATGCTTGCAAATACTTGCTGGTCTTGCTGGTTTATACAAACTTCAAAGAAAGGATTTCTATACGATTGTTCATGTGAATCATGTCCTTGTTCCTTCTCATTTTTTTCTTCGTACGCTGCATCAACCGGCACCCATGCAAAACCTGATAAACGCTGAAGTCGAGATCATTGTCTAACCTTCAATCGCAAAGTGACGGGGTCTAAATTGCGTCAAAATGTAAAATTTTCACACCAAAATAACCGCAAGGGCCCAGGCTTTGTGAATCTGCGTGTACATTTTAACATTACGCATGTCAAAACAGGGTTACGACGCTTTACACGCGGGTCGCAGGCGCATTCACAGTAATTTTTATACTAAACAATGAAATATTACGTAACTTTGACGCAAAAGTGACAGGGGTTTTTTAACATCCAAAAGAAAGATTTACGACAAGAAATAGCGCTATAACACAAGGAGTCCCAAGCCGAGTGTACAAATTAAGAATGTTTTATATAAACCGAAAAATGATGTATTTTCGGGAAAAAAGCCATGTTTTCATTGCGCGATTGTATTACGCGATGTCAAAACATGACAAAATAGATCATATGACAAATATGACAAAATAGATCATAGTTGTGTGATATATAATACTGCAAATATATACAGTATAACTCGTGATGAATAGGTTACTCTTCCAAATATATAAATATTGAAAGCGCGTGATATACATTACAAATCATGGTTTATATCACAACTCGTGATATAGATCACAATTCACAATGCAGCTCGTGATATAGGTTACAAATCATGGTTTATATCACAACTCGTGATATACTGATATAGATCACAATTCACAATGCAGCTCGTGATATAGGTTACAATTTTGCGTTCGGAATTACTTCATCTTATGACCCATATAGTGGACGGAAGGCTATTTTATATTCCGGGGGGGGGGATGTTTCAAATTTAAAAATGTTTTCAGGGTTTCAAAATGGCGCCATGAATACAAGCCCAGAAATCAACATCGAAGCTTTCTTGAGAAATATTCCAAATCAAATTACAGAGGCGCGTCGTCAACTATTTTAATTTTGGAATAGGTAATAGGACCTCTACATGCGTCTTGGACCCGTGGTTTACTTATAATCATTATTTAGATATCTAATGGATTTCTTTTGTTTTCAACGGGGTCTTGAAATTAGACCATGCCATGAAATATTGTATAAAAGGTGCACGCGTATTATGCGTGCGTTGTTTTGTGTCTTTTTATGTAAATCCATTGTAGAAATATCGTAATTGAAGTTAGCATGTACTGTATGTAAAGTTCTTACTTGGTAATTGATAGGTGTAATTTGAGCTTTCGATAACATCTGCTACAAGCGACCGAAACTGAGGACTGTTTATCACATTTTGAACAACAGATTCGACATCTCCACGCGTGTCGGCCATTGTCATCAAAATTGAAGCGAAGCATCAACAATGAATATGTCCAATGTAATGTCTCCCCCCCCCCCGGAATATAAAATAGCCTTCCGTCCACTATATGGGTCATAAGATGAAGTAATTCCGAACGCGAAATTGTAACCTATATCACGAGCTGCATTGTGAATTGTGATCTATATCACGAGTTGTGATATAAACCATGATTTGTAACCTATATCACGAGCTGCATTGTGAATTGTGATCTATATCACGAGTTGTGATATAAACCATGATGTGTAATGTATATCACGCGCTTTCAATATTTAAATATTTGGAAGAGTAACCTATTCATCACGAGTTATACTGCATATATTTGCAGTAATATATATCACACAACTATGATCTATTTTGTCATATTTGGCGCCTCATAACTGTTCATTTGTCGGATAATTAAATACATAGTCAATTATTTACAGTCAGTCAATAGGCCTACAATATGTAAAATGAGACGTTTTGAAGATTATATACGTCTGTATTTACCACAGAGAAAAAGAAGGGCAATGTTCGTATTATATAAATTAATACTAATGTTGGCGATGCATTTAAATTTTTACAATGACTGGGCAACAATGGCCAACAATATACTAAACTAAAGTGCTATATATATATATATATATATATATATAATATAGAGAATAATACATGGGTGCGCGGAAATACCAAATTTATTTCGAGTGTTGAACATGATAGGCCTATCTCACGAGTGAGCGCAGCGAACGAGTGAGATATCATGTTCAACACAAGAAATAAATCTGGTATTTCCAAGCACCCATGTATTTTTCTGTTTATTATATAAAGGACAGTCTTTGAAAAGCGATAATTTGTACAGAAAAGCGATATTTGAAAAGCGATAATTTTCACATGTGAGATTATCATGAATAATCTCACACTGTGAGATTATCACTTTTATCAATGTTAGAAATTTCTATAAAGCACTATACTTTATATAATAAAGAAGTTTATTATATAAACATAAGTGTTATATAGAGTTTTTGGTCACTGAGAAAATCGTATTTAAACACACGTAAAAAATACGATATTTTTACGTGTGAAAATATCATTTGTTGTAAAACGCGTTGCCACGGACGTTTTAT